ATGTCAGATTTGTGCAGGGAAGTTGGGTGGTGAGGCATCGTTCCAGCTGAAGCTCCTCACTTGCAGAACTAGCTTTCCCATGACGGGGACACAGCTTCAGAAAGCTGTTGGTAGACCTCGTAAAATGAACTCAGTACTTTGGAGCATGTGGTTCTAAGGTGCCACTCACCAACCAAGAGGCTGGAAGAAGAAAAGCGGCAAAGTGTAAAGAAAGTTTTGCCAAACGTTTCATGTACAAATCAGTGCGAGGGAAATGACCAAGGACCAGCGTCCTCCATGGGTATGGAACTGGGACAGATCCCTCCACTGCTCAGGACTGTTTCCTCATGGACAAAGCAGGGGAGTTTAGTCATTCATTCAACAAACATGAACTAAGGACTTCCCGGTGGAGGCAGTGCACCGAAGGCTGGCAAGATAGGAGTGTGCTTTGGGAGAAAGTTTAGCCCAGTGTGGAGAGTGAGGAGTATAGAGAGCAGAGGAGGGAGCTGGATTTTCCATGCATCTTCTCACGTCATCCCTACAATTACTGTGGAGGTAGGTAGTGCAGATAGTTTTATCCCCACTTCATAGATGAAGTCATTGAGACTGAGAAAGATGGAACTGGCCGAGGTCACACAACAGAACCAGGATTTGGAACTGGTGTGACTGACTCAAAGCCAGTTCTTCCTCCTCACCTTTGATGGACAATCACAAGTTTCCTTTTAGCACAACATTCTTAGAATGTATGCCAAAAAATAGCCATTGAACGTCACATTCTGACGGTCCTCTCTCTTAGCAGCCAAGAGAGCCCCCTCTCTTGTGTTCAGGATTACAACAGGGTACAGAGAAGGGGGTTGCCTCCAGTTGTCCAATCTGACTTGTTTTAACCCCAGGGACACTTCAAATAGAGTCACATTTCATTCTGGAAAATATGAACATCCCAGGACCGTTCTATCGCCGAGAATTACATTCACAACACAAAGCTAGGTGAAGTCATGTGGAGCCAGTCCCCTTCCTGAAGCCCGCTGGACAGGCCCATCAAGGGATATTCAGGCCACTGCTTATACAGCTACAAGTCCAGGAAGGTGAAATAATTTGCCTGCGATCCCCTGGAACATTAGTGGAAAAGCCTGGATCAGAGTCCTGGTGCTTGGAAACCTGGCTGTGTCCTTGACCTCAAAATTTAGTGGAAATAACCCTGAAGGACAATTTGGACGAGCCTCTCGCTGTGTGGGGCACTGTACTTATAAGCAGTGTGGTCACAGGCACGTGCTCATCTATGAAAAAAGCCCCTTCTGTGTTGCTTGTTGAATGGATTGAGTGAGGAAAAGCAAGCAAGGTCTTTGTAAACTGTAAAGTGGGTTCGTGGAGGGGTAATTGCCAAAGCTTGTGACCCATCTTTGTGGCCTACCCCACCTGGAGCTGACTTCCATTGAGCACTGTCCCTCTCCCACCACGTTCCTGGGGGAGGAATGTGCAGGGTTCCCTGGGGCCCAGCCTGGGAGTTGGCATATGGCAGATGCTTAACAGAGAATGGGTAAACAGAGCATGTGGCAAGAGCCAATTCTCAGATCCATGGAGATACCAACAAGAAAGGCACTGGAAGAGCAGAGGAGCAAGGGCGCAGTGAGAGGGTGACAGAGGGTGAGAAGTGCTTCCCTGTGGATGGACAGGGTTTGGTCCCTGGAGAGGAAAGGGTGGGGCACTCCACCCACTTGGGCAAACACCAGGAGATGGAAATTCTTATGGATTATCGAGGGGACACTGAGGGAGTGGGCAAGTAAGCCAGCAATGAAAGATTAGCACAGAAAAAAAATAATAATAAAGGTAGTAAGTGTAGCACTTATACTACAAAGACATTATTCAAAGAACTATAGCTGTATTACCTCATCAGATTCTTGCCACAACCCTCTGAAGTGGACAGTATTATCTCCACTTTACAGACAAGGAAACAGAGAGGTTAAGTAACTTGCTCAAAGTGGCAAAGCTGTGATTTGATGTCAGGCAGTCTGGCTCCAGCTGACCTGTGCTCTTCGAGCAGGTTGAATCCTGTCTGTAAAGAGAGAGGAAGCTGGCACATTTTTTTTTGTGCTATAAGAAAAGATTTGAGCAAAGCTTTTGAGCAAGAGAGAGGACATTACTGGAATAAAAATGTCTTACTTTACAGGCGTCAGTTCTCAAAAACATTGAACACCTTTTGTGAGACAGGCAGTGGTAATAAAAAGAGCAAGATAGAGCCCCTGGCCTGATGAGCATGTGGTTCAGTGGGAGATCAGGTGGTGGCTGGAGCAGGCTCGCTCGCTCACTCTCCAAGGCCATCACGTGCCTTTCTTTGTTCACTATCAGTGGCATCAGAGTCATAGCTTGAAACTGACAACAGGGAGAGTATTTACACAATGGAAATTGGCCATCTACAAACCAGGGCTTTCCTCACACAGAGCTTGGTGGTAAAATATTTACCGGCACAACACAACTGTGAACGACTGCAGTCCAATGATAAAAGTCCTCCCCAGGCAAAGAGTAACACATAGAGGGCGGGACCAACTCCACCCTCTCGGTGAGCAGGGTATTGAAGGATGAGCATATGTTTATCATGAAGACAGAGTAGAAAATGGCAGCCCCTGCAGAAGGATGAAAGGGCATGGCATATTCATTCTGTGATTTGTGAAAGAAACTATGGATGTGAAGGGGCTTGCCAGCCTGTGAAGAGCCAAACAAAAGGGTGTTTATTAAGCAAATCCAATATTGAATTTATAAAGAACTTATTGTGATCGGGAAGGGCGTGCCCATGTCTCAACACATTAATTTTTCTGTATCTGGCAGGATCCCTCAATTTCTTTCCTTTTTTTCTTTTTTCAAAGATTTATTTATGCATGGAAGAGCTAGGGTGTAGGCCAGAGGTGCGGGGGTGGGGGTTGAGAGGATTCAACCCTGAGACAGAGCAGGGAACAGAACAGGCTGAAATACACTGCTGAGGGGAGCAGCGGACGAGACAGGAGAGGTCTGCTGCGCCATATGTGGGTCGCTCTCTGACAGGGATCGAACTCAGGCCATGGTGGTGTAGCTCTGAAACTTAACCCCTGGGCCACCAGGGAGGCCCCAGGATCCCTAAATTTCAAATGTGATTCAACTGGGCCGATACCCTCAGTAAAAGGGAACCTAGGCTTTGTGCAGGAACCTGGCATGAGAATGATCTCAAACACTGGAGGGCGGCCAGCTGATAAATGTTGACAAATGCTTTGAAATGCCTTGTATGTTGGGAAGGGTCAGGGAAGTTGGTGGGAAGTAGGGCCAGAAGAGGGCAGTGCTGGTCAGACACACCTGGCTGACAGGTACTTCTTGTCCGGAGGAGTCCAAGCTGGACAGTAGCCCTGCAGACCTTGTCTTGTTGTCCTTTGTGTTGGGGGGCCTAGGTGCTTATGGGAGGCCAAAGTCTGGCTTCCACGGGGCTGATTTTTCTTTTCGGGGTCCCCCTTGGTCCCTGCGTCCTGGACTAGGGTGAGTATGTCACCCTGTCTCCATAACTCATTGCCTGGTGCCAAACTGTCCTGAAGGTTCTGAAGGAGACCAAGGTCACTGGGCTGCCTGCACAGATGCAGCTGCGAGAGTCAGACTCCCAAGGGGCCTCGAACAAGCCCGGCCTCTCCGTTTGGTAGGACAGTTATCACAAATGTTCTGCTCTGTGTGCGGGTCATGGGACCTCATTTCCCTGCCAGATGCCCCATCAGCCCTGAACCCTTGGGACACAGGCAGACACAGGCAGTCAGTGTGAAAAGACCACAATTTAGGGAAGAGACTGGGTGGTGCTCTGGACACTAGAGCCAAGATATCGTTCGAAGGCTGGCCTTGGCCAAGCCCCCACTCGCAGCAGCCTGTTTTAGGATTAATATGTCAGAGCAAGCTGGACATCTGAACTACAGGACAATTGCTCAATTGCTGTTTTAGGCAACACAGCTGTTTACAAAGCAAAGTGACGGCCTCCTGGCCCGCTGGGCTCTCTGGGCATTGAGATGTGAGCCATGACTACCTTTGCACAGGGGTGTGGGCCTGCAGGAGAGACAGAAGGTCACAGGCTTGCCCTTTATAAAAGGGAAAGGCCTTTACAGGGTGCTGAGGGAAATGAGCCTGAGGTGGTGCCCCCTCTGGCCTACAAGCATGTGGCGCCATTTGGTGGCGGGCCACACACAAAGTGGCCATACCAGGGTACCTTAAGTTTCCCTGAAGCACACTTTCAGACTCTCGCCCACGTGCCCGGCGCCATGCACAGGGCAGGGACAGGTTGCTGAGCAGCTCCTGTGTGCCTGGAATTGCCCTTGAGCCGGCACAAAGCTCTTGGCTGTGCAAAAGGCCAAATAAACTGAGCCTAGTTCTCACTCGGGGCAGTGAGGGACTCCTGACAAGCAGCACATACCTGCTGGGGGGAGTCCACGCTCACTCCAGCTCACTCTTCCTCTGGGCTGCTGCTGCCTGCGATGCTCAGTGAGTTCACTGGGAGGTACTCGAAGTGGGTGTACCCATGTACTCCTTCCAGTCCACCCTCCTAGCCGGGCTTCTGGGCCTCTGCTCCTGCCTTTCCTGTGCCCACGGCGTCATCTTAGCTTATTCTGTCAAATCTAACCTACCCTTCCAGGCCCTGCTCTACCATCCAGAAACCCCAAGAACTGAGTTGTCTTTCCCAAGTAGCCACTGGACATTGTATGCACCAATGAGCTGTTTTCAAGCTGGACTCACCTGTGGTTGTTTCTATCCTCAGCACCAAGCACTGGGGGGATGGAGAGGTGGGGGGAGTGTTTGTTAAATTGTACTGTCACCGTGTCCCTCAAACAACGGCCCAGTATGATCACTTCCTGAAAGAGCGTCTGTGTGCCAGCTAGCTAGGAATTTTACCCACACCAACTAATTTAAATCACATAACACAGGGAGGCAAGGGGTGTTCACCACCGAGGAAACAAATCAGGGGCCAGTGACGTGTTCACGGTTACGTGGCAAGCAATGGAGCCAGAATTAAAACAAGGTCAGTGTGACTCCAAGGCCAAGGTTTTATCTCTTAAAAGCAGACACAAAATAATACCAGTCATTTATGGTTTATACTGTATTCTCACATACATTGTTTCATCTGATCCTCACAACAGCCCTGTGAGGTAGGTAGGGTTATGAATTACTGTTATGCCCATTTCACAGATGAAGAAACGGAAGTGGCTCAGTGAGGTGACTTGTAGAGAGTCACTTAGCACATTAGTAGCTTCACAGATCCTGTACTTTCTCTAAAGTCAAGCTGCTTGAATTAAGAAGCACCGAAGAGACGGAGAAAGAATTTTTATGGAACAGAAAGAAGGGCAGCAGTGATTGATGAGATTTTGTCCTTCGACTATTTTGTTGTGGTCACAGCATCTGCTGTCTAGTCTGAACCGAGTCCTCCTGAGTGGCTTCCCTGAGTACCAATGACTTGGTGGCTTGAGACGGCTGTCAGACTCCTGGGTCCCACAAAGGGGGAGGCAGCCTTGTCCTGACCAAGTACAAGCTCCCCACTCAGGGCGTAACTATGGAAAGCCCCTTCCTCGACCCACCTCCATGGACACCCTGTCACCAGGTTTACCTGGCTTGGTCTGAGGACCCCCAGTGGGAAGACTCTAGGACTCTCAAGGCCACATGTGTCCAGGAATGAATCATCATGTGCAGCTTTGACGCCCACACTGCTCATCACTCCCAGGAAAGTATTAGCTTGGAGTATCTTGTCCTTGATCTGACCCCATGGAGGTCCATGGGATGCTTAGGACCAGGAACAGTACCACAGGGGAAGCTCACTTCTTGCAGAGCAGTGTCTTGAAGACTGAACACTTACCCCATGGGCAATGTGTGCTTCGGACTGTCCTCTGGGCTCCTCGCCGCCCACTACCCGGGTCATCTTTCTCTGGCAGCACCTCTGTAGGGGCAGCAAATGTTCACCCTCCCACAGAAGATGCTCAGAGGGTTTGCGGAGCCATGACTGTAAGCCATGACCATGGTAGGTGAAATGGGGCGGGGGTGGGGTCACAAATGAGGCACAGCTGTCACAGGATGCAGTGATTTACAGGGAATGGAAGGGGTCTAACCTTGCTTCTGAAGATAGGTTCCAAAGGGGAACCCTAATTATGAGTAGTATAATATTTTCAGGATGAGTATTTGGCCTCCCAAGGTGACTAATTTGAAGGAGAAAATACACATTTGGGTGGGAAGGAAGGTCTAGAACCAAGACCACGATCATAAAATGGGAGTGGAAGGACAGATTTTGCTTAATGTAGGAGAGAACTTTCCAACAGCCAGCACCAGGCAACCAAGGCAGGAGCTGCCCCTGGGGATAACAAATTTCCTGTCACTGGAGGTAAACAAGCAGGTATAGATGGGTGATCACTGGGAGGTGTTGGGACAGGCTCTTAGCCCAGATGTGTCCAGACTATGCTGGCGATGTGGGAAGAGAAATTGTTTTCTAATCCTGAGGGTCTATAATGTATTTGTTAAAAATGACTTTGTTCAATGATACCTCAAATTCCTGGGGGTAGGACTATAAGAGCAAGGTGACAGGGACCTTTCATTGCACTGGCTCCTGATGATCAAATATTTGCTGGGACAGCAGCCCATTTCTGAAGCCTAGAAATCCCTAACTGCCTAGGTTTGTCCCAGTTAGGATGGATCCCTCCCTCAAGGGCTCGTATTTTGAATGCCCCAGAATGAGGTACTGCCTAGCAGGAGAAAGAGAGGGACCCTGTGCAAAAACTGTTTGCTGTTCCTTTGTCCATCCAGAGAGTCCTCTTGTGGCCTCCTTTAGGACACACTGGCAGACTCTTGTCATAACGAACTGCCCACCTTCAGCTCAAAATGGCAAGAAAAAGTTGGCTCTGTTCAAAGGACACATGGATTCCTAAAGGTGGACTAATCATGAGGGGAGTCAAGTCCTGCTACGTGATTAATACCAATTAGTGTAGTGCCCTGCCTTAGACCAGCAGCCAGAAGCTCTCCAAGATCTTGGCTGACATGGAGCTCCTTGCAAGCCCCCACCAATGTGGCTGCATCTTTTTACCTATAGCGTATTAATCGGATAATCTTATTGTTCATAAAATCCAGAGCATGGGGGTGGGAAGAATCAATGCAGAAGCCGTCACTCAGAGCGATTTTCAGTACCTCCTCCACAAAGACCTGGAAGCTGTTGATCTGCTTGTTCGCTGGCACCACCCAGAGCCTCTTGAGGTTCTGCTTGGTGTACTCCTCCTCTGGCAGGCCCTCTACGTTGGCCACCCAGTCGAGAGTCAGGTGGTTGGGGTCCTGCAAGTGGCTGGTGATGGAGGAGAGATTGCCATTGGAGCAGTAGAAGAGCTTGGAGCCAAGGAGCTTGAGGAAGAGGCAAGAGGTGCTGAAGATGTTGGCATTGAAGACCTCCATGCTGGAGGAAGAGAGGCTGTAGATCTGGGGTGCCTCACGCACAGTGAAGTGGACTGTCTGCACACGCTGATTCAGGGTGATGTTGAGCATGGCGTTCTTCTCCGCCTTGGAGAGCTCCACTTCCTTCTCCTGCAGGGCCTCAATCAGGGGCTGTACCTGGTAGAAGTCAGCCTCCCGGCGGAGCAGGCCCATTTCCTGGAAGTCCTCGGGCAGGTCGAGGTGGGAGGTCCGCAGGAAGTTGAGGATGTAGCGGAACACTTTGCCATCACGGTCAATGAAGCAGTTGCCCTGGCTGTCCCTCTTGGTGGGCATCTTTCCGCTGAACATGGCGCCCAGCATGGAGTCAGGGAAGCTCGTCAGGGTTGCCAGTGAGGTTGTGTAGAGTTTCCCCCCAACGTTCAATGTGATGGGGTCAGACATGGCAGGAGGCTGGGGTGCTGAGAAGTAGTCCTAGAGAGGGAGGAAAGTGAGAAATGAACATTATCCAACCCTGTATGCTGTTTTAGTCTGCTGGGGCTGGTATAGTAGAATACCATAGGCTGGGTGGCTTTGTAACAAACATTTATTTCTCATAGCTGGGAAGCTGGGAAGTTGAAGATCAAGGTGTGGGCAGATTTGGTGTCTGGTGAGGGACCTCTTCCTGGTTCAAGGAAGGACATCTTGCTGTGTCTTTATCAGGTAAATGGGAAGAGAACTCTCTGGGTCTCTTATAAAGGCTCCACCCTCATGATCTAATCACCTTATAAAGTCCCCACCTTCCTAATACTATCACATTGGGGATTAGGATTCCATCTTAGGAATTTGGGGGGCACAAACATTCAGTCCGTAACATCTGGGTAACCACACTTCTCATCTATTGTAGATCAAGCCTACATCCTTGAGGTGGAAATGAATTAAAATTTGATGAACAAATGGATGGGTGATAATTGCCACACTGTCCTAAGCAATGTATTTCTCAAAGCCTGGGTCACACTCTTCAGATTGCTTTACTTACCCCGGAATGTGGCCCCGGTGTTGGTATTTTTAAAATTCTCCCTTAGTGATTCTAAATGTTCAGTCAAGATAGAGAACAAGCGGTCTTAGGAGAGGAAGATGTCCCTGGACTGAATGTTGTGCTGTGTTATATGTGAGCCCAGACATTTGCTTATACAACAGCCATGCATCTTTGAGCAGAGACAGTAGCATCTTGACCCCTGCTGTGCAGAGGAGAGGCTCCATCCCCACGCTCAGAGAGGTGGAGGGCCTTGCCAGGAGTCCTCCCAGGTCTCTTTACATGAGAGAAAAATGCGTGAATGCATACTTGTAAATGCCCACAAGTCCTTAAGAAATGCCGTAGTATTTATGTCTCCAAGCCCAGTGCTCTTTCTGCTCTACCCTTTTTGCCTCTGAATTTATTCGTAGTCATTTGTGCATAATGACATTTCAGTCAACAACTGACTGCATATTTGGTTGTGGTCCTTATATAGTCTAGGCAGGCAGTAGGCTTTACATCTAGGTTTATGTAAATACTTAAGATGTTCACACAACAACAAAATCGCCTAACAACATATTTCTTAGAAAGTATCCCTGTAGTTCAGTGACACACGATTGTATTTTTCTATCTCAAAGAATTTACAGTGAATGACTATGATTAGTGCTGGGTCCATCTGTCTAACAGGCCCCTGATGGGTCACTTGGCTGTCTGGACTTCAAATGACACTCCTTCCTGAATTCTTATGTTCCCACAACACCCTGCTTTGCTGTGAAGATACTTTTGGCTCCTGGTGGCCCACTTCTTCCTGCCACACCTCCTCTGAAACTTGCTGTGGGGTCAGTGCAAACATCAGACTCTGCTGCTGAGCACCCTTCCTGGGGGTTCTTTAAATACCCCCCTAACCCCCCTGCCCCGACATAGTCTTTAGTGTTGAGTGTTCGTAAGTCTCCTTCAACCTGAAGTCCTGGATTCTAAATTCTCTTTAAGGTGTCAGAAAGCAGGTGATGTACCCTTTCAGCTTCCAACAAAGGTTTTCCCAAAAACCAACCTGTGGGATGTGTTTAGCAATCTTTCCCTGATGCTGGGTGTTGGGGGACCACAGAGAGGAATCACCCCAGAGCAGCCCTGGAGAAGAGCCAGCTGGTGGGGAAGGTGGAAACAAGAGGCTGTGAGGGTGCAGTGGCAAGAGTGCTGTGCCCAGGCTGTGGGGGTAGGTTGGGAGTGAATCCTGGCACACTGACTGTCCAGATGGGAAAACAGAGGTCCTTGGTGGGATGTCCTCCAAGTCACCCAGCAGGGTAGTGAGCGGCCAGAGCACTTCTTACCATGGATCTGTTTTCTGAGGACACAGAATGCAGCCTCCCCCCATCCGGAGGGTGGTGGCCATGCCAGGTGTGAGAGATGCACAGCTGTCTCACCCAGCTCTCTGGGGGTGGGGCTGTTCCCTTGTGGCTCTTTTCCCATCTAATTGGGGGCACTTTGATAATGCAGTAGGGCATTAACCATCTGGAGTGTCCAAAGAGAAAAAACCCATGACAAAGGTATAAAATTATCAGCAGAATCCTGGAACAGATGGGTTGCAAACCATGGGGAGGTCCACCAGAGACGGGGACATGAGGTGCTTGGGGAGGGGGTAGCTGTGTGGGGAACTGCAGCTGGGGACAAGGCTAACTCTGGCCGATACTCTTGCTAAAGGGTCTAGGCAGGAACTGGACCCAGGAGTGGGATGTGCCTTTCCTCATTCCAGAATCTTCTTTTTCTTCATTCCTCTCTTTCTTTCTAGGTAGTCACTGGCATAATCTAGTTTTCAGTCTTTCTTGTTGATTTAAAGCCCAGGCTCTGTGAAGTGGCTCAGCTCCAAGGACAGAGCAGATATAGTGTCAGAGAAGCTGCGCTCTGCCTTTCCTGATGGTCCTGTGAGCTGCAGACCCCATGTGGCTTCCATGCTTTAGTGCTGAGGAGCTCAGGACACTGAGGTTGGGGGAGGCAGTCAGGAGCCACGGGGCCTACCCAGAGGCCTTTGCGAGGGGGGGTTATCCAGCTCCTATTTCTCTGCTCGCAAAAGCAGCAAAGCAACAGCTTTTCTGCACTCCCACCCCCACTCCATCACTCCTCTGGGGAGAGCAGGTCAGTGGGAGCAGAGGAACATTAGAAGGGTAGAGCACCCTTCTAGGGTGCTCTTGAGGTGTTTTCCCCAAATGCATGAGTCACAAGAGCTCAGACCTCTAAGCCCTATTTCCTAATAACTGCGCCACAGCATCCACCCCCACAATCACAGGTCCTTTGGTGAAAGGCATAATGACATGGGAGCAGGAACTGGTACTTCTGGGGTACTGAGTAGCTTCAGTGAGTGGTGGAGCATTTGTGGTCTGGAGAAATGAACGAATGTCACTGGGCTATAGCCCCAGCATAGACATTACACTTTGCTGTCCTATGGTTACTGAAGCCTGACTCAGAGTTCCTCTCCTGCAAACCCGCTGTGAACTCTTCTCAGCCACCCGACTACCTGAGCCCAATACCTGGAGTCAGGGCAACCCTGACTCCTCATCCCTTCATTTTTTCTCTACTCTGTCTCTTTGAACCCTGTAGCTACTCCTAGGGCTCAGCCCTCATGTCCCCTCCTGCTATGTTCCACATAGCTCCTGTCTTCTTCTGTCCACTTTCCATTTACTCTGCACATTGATCTTCCTGAAACACCCCCTTCCCAAACCACCTTGCTCCTCCAATCTTACCTCTAATTTTGGCCCTCGCCACACTCTTTGCTAGGCACTACACATACAGAAGACTGACTCAAAGTGGACAACAGACCAAAATGTAAAATCTTCTTAAAACTATAAAACTTCTGGGTCTCCCTGGTGGCGCAGTGGTTGAGTGCTGGGTTGCGAAGCTGCCCGCAGCCTCTGCAGCACCGGTTCGATCCCCGGCTGCTCCCCGGCCATGGGAGGAAGGTCCCCCTTGGCGCGCAGACCTCTCCTGCTGCTCGCTGCTCCCCTCAGCAGTGTACTTTGGTCCTTTTGCCTGCTCTGCTCCCCGCTCTGGCCCTGGTGAATTCTCTCACCCTCCTGTGCTTCAGACTGTACCCAGTGCGTGTATAAATAAATAAATAAATCTTTAAAAAAACCCACAAAACTATAAAACTTCTATAAGAAAATCATTGTGGGGCCTCCCTGGTGGCGCAGGCGGTTGAGCACAGCGTTGTGAAGCTGTCCGCAGCCTCTGTAGCGCTGGTTGGATCCCCGCCAGCTGTGGAGCAACCCACATGGCGCGGCAGACCTCACCCACTGCTCCCCTCAGCAGTGTATTTCAGTCAGTCTGCCTGTTCTGCTTCCCACTCAGTCTCTGGGGAATCTTCTCACCACCCCCCCCACAACTCTGACCTGTACCCCGGTTCTTGTGTACATAAATCTTAAAAAAAAGAAAGAAAATCTTCATGGACTTTGGGTTAGGCAAATATTTCTTGAATAGGATGTGAAAGACCATAAAAATTGATAAACTTGTCTTCACCCAAATGAAAATCTTCTCCTTGAAAGACACTTGTTAAGAAAATGAATATAAGATAGACCGGGAAGAGATAAAATTGGAAAATAAATCCTTTATCCTGGTAAAGGACTGTTAACTATAATAATGGAGAAAACTCTAAACTCAATCAGAAGAAAACAAACCACCCCATTAAAAAATGGGCAAAAGATCTGAACAAACACTGCCCAAGAAAACATATGGGCAACAATATATGAGAAGATGCTCAACAGCATTCATCATTAGGGACATGAAAATTAAAACTGCAATTAGCACTATATGTCTATTAAACTGGCTCAAATAGAAGCTGGCAAGTACACAGAGCTACTGAAATTCATACACTGCAGGCGAGAATGCAACACGGTAGAAGCACTGGGGAAAAGCCTGACATCTAGTTACCACATGACCCAGAATCCCAGGGAAGGAAGACATGTCCATATACAGCCTTCTATGTGAACCATTATAGCAGCTTTATTCATTATTAGCTAAAATCTGGAAAGAGCTGTCATGTAAGTGAACAACTGGTGGTATAGCCACACAATGGAATATGATTCAGCTATTAAAAAGAAAGTAGCTACTGATACATCACAGTGAATCTCAAAAGCATCAGGCTACGTGAAAGAAGCTAGCCTCAAAAGGCTACATAGTGTATGATTCTACTTACATAACATTCTGGAAAGGGCAAAAGTATAGAGATAGGAATCAGATCAGTGATTCCTAGGGAATGGGTTGGGGAGAAGGGTTTGGGTACACAAAGATACCAGGAGTACACTGGAGTGATGGAAATACTCGATATCCTGGTCCAGTGGTCAAATGAGTGGTCAAATGAGTGTAGAAAGATTGTCAAAACTCATGTAACTAAACACCTAAAAAGGGCAGATGTATGTAAATTATGCTTCAGTAAACTGGAAAAAAACTAAGGTCATGACCAATTAATGAATCGTGAAACCACTATAGGGTGTGGTGATCACAGTTGTGAAGCTTTTGTTTCAGTGGATGTGTGTATATGAACTTGACTGTGATTTAAAATGTATCTTTGTGGGCCTCCCTGGTCACGCAACGGTTGAGCGCTGGGTTGTGAAGCTGCCCGCAGCCTCTGCAGCGCCGGTTCTATCCCTGGCTACTGGAGGAGGGTCCCGCATGGCGCGCAGACCTCTCCTGCTGCCCGCTGCTCCCCTCAGCAGTGTACTTCGGTCCTTCTGCCTGTTCTGCTCCCCACTCTGGCTCTGGTGAATTCTCTCACCCTCCCATGCTTCTGACTGTACCCAGTGCTTGTATAAATAAATAAATAAATCTTAAAAAAAAAAAGCAAACTGTAAATAAAATAAAATGAAATAAAATAAAATAAAATGTATCTTTGTTACCATGGTTGTAATAAAAATTGTTTTGAAACCACCAACTATTTTGTGGTCTCTTGGAGATCTTGGAGATCTTTTGTCTAAGTTGCTACACACTCAATGCCCAGAGCACAGTGGACGCTGGTGGTATGGGGAGGGAGGGGTCACAGATAGGGACTGAGAGGGAGGGCGCATTTACTGAGCGTTTTACTACATCCAAGGCCTGTTAGCATCCTGCTAGCATTTTATTTACTTTTAACAAAAATACGTAGAGAACTACAGAGATGTTGCTACTGGGCTAAACGCCTTATGTACTTTATCTCATTGGATACCTTCATAGCATCCTGTGAACTAGACGCTATTATTATCTCCATTTTACATAAGAGGAACCTGAGGCACAGAAAGGCTAAGAGACTGCTCAGGGTCACCCAGCTAGGCAGTAGAGGGGCTGGGATCCAAATGCAGGTTTGTGTAAGTTGGACACTTCCAGTCTTTTCCCTTCCCACCACGAGGTCTCAAAGAAGTGACAGAGGCATGCTCCCTTATTCTCTGTTAGCACCAGGCAGCAGCAGGGCCTTCAGCAGCCAGTCCCACTGCTGACATGGGGCAACTGAGCTCCTGCATCCCTGACACAGGGCAAGTCCACTGAGCGATCTTTAGATCTTTCCATTTCAACTGCAACTCATGATAAAGCACCGAAACACAGAAGACTGGGTTTTTAAAAGCTAGATGAGAAAAGCTGAATGGAAATGCAAACTGAACCAGGAATTAGAAGATGAAGAAACCCCGCCGCTATGTGTGAATAAATACGTCTTAAGCAAGGATGTTCCAAGTTTCCCTCTTGTCTTGAAAAGAAAAAGATCAGCTTTTTCTTCCCTGAGAAAACCACTGGTGTTATCAGGAGATGATGACCTTCTGACTGAGAAAGGAGACCAGGGGCTTGGAAACGAGGAGTTGTAGCTGGAATTTTCTCCTCTGTCAGATGGGTTTGGAGCCCACATGTGAGGGGTAAGGCCCAGTCTGTAACCATGCAAACGGCAATTCCAGTTTGGGACCAGCAGCAACCTGTAATTGTGACACTGAAAATAGAACTTTTTGAGAGGTGTCTTGTAAGGAAGGACAGACAGGATATTCTGGAGTCCTACTTTAAAACTCTGCCCTGGCAGCCATAGTCCCTGCAGGTCTGACGATGAAAACAAGCTAGTAATGCTTGGTGAGAACTTACCATGTCCCATAATCTGTGCTAGGTGCTATACATATTAGCTGATTTAGGACCCCTAACACTCCTTCAAGGAAAGTATTACCTGCACTTAACAATGCAAACCAAAGCTCTAAGAGATAGGTAATTTGCCCAAAGCAGCAGAACCAAGATTTAAGCCTCAGTCCATCTAGTCTGTGCTCTGAAGGATGACATTTCTTTTTGGGCAGTCGGCAGCCAAGACCTATGGAAAGGTCTAGCACTTGTCTCCCTCCTACCTCTTACCAGGTGCTCTTACACCTGCTACCTCAATCTGATTCTGACCTACATATAGGTCAGGTTGCAGAGAATCAACATTTCCTGAACACTGGAAATGTCTCCTGAGCACATCCCTTGGGTGCTGTGAGGAATTTTCCTGATTATTTTTTCATAAAAATACCACGCCGATGCTGTGAAGTAGTATTAATCATCCCAATATTTAGGGTTATAAAACTGAAATACAGAGTAGTGAAGCAGCTGCATAAGATCACACAGCTAAGAGGTAGCAGAGCAAGAATTCTAAGTGAGGGCTCTTGTGTCCCCTTCCAGAAACACAAGCCATGACATTTTATTAAGAAGCACGAATAGAATTTGATAGAGGCCTGTGCCGTGATGCCTCTGAGAGGGAGATGAAATATCTTAAAGTTGTTCTTCTAAAATGAATAATATTTGTTATATTATCCTAATCCAGATTAGGATAGTAACCTGGAATAGGATAAAAATCCATGGTATTTTTATCCAAAATAGTATAAAAAGATTAAAATCTTAGTTTGGAAAAATTGATGATAACCAGAAAGAATATCTGAAAAAGAGTAGATATCTTGGTGTAATGTATTAACTCAGATAATAAAGCAATGACATTTCAAAGAAATGAAAGAGGGAAGAAGGAATTTTGTACCTTGAAAAGACTGATTGACTAAAAAAAAATAGATACTAAACTTACAATCATTTTGCAATATATACAATGTAAAATGGTACAACATTGTTATACACAATATTATATAACATTGTTATATAACTATGTGTTATACACCAGTTATAAAACTAACACAATGTTATAGGTCAATTATAACTAGACAACAACAAAAAAATAAAAAAGAACACAAAAAAAATGGACTGAAGGGATTCTCACTGGCCAAATTTGAGATAACTGGCAAAGATTAATACCAAGAAGATTAATGATGATAATGAATTCACACACACACACACACACACACACACACACACGAGTCTGTGTTATGCCAAAAAGAAAAGCGAGGCAGTGAAAAAGACACACACAGGAAAGTTTTCTATAACAAGGAATAGCAGCTAATACAGAGGAAAGATTTCTATAACAAGGAATAGAAGCTAATACATACAGAAAGAATAGCATAATTACCATTTGCAGCCCTGAATACTGCAGTTCAGTCAAGAATCATCAATGGGTGTGGAGTGGAAGGTTATCAGGAATGCACTGTTTTGACAATCTCAAAGAATCATTCATGGATAGCAGCACCCTGATACATGCCTTCGAAAGTGATGCAGTACACAGCATTGCCTGGGGGAAAAAAAAATCTAACCTGCATCTAATCACCGACAAAATGAGCAAACAAATGTAAACAGGTGGAGGTGCTCTAGCTAGATTAAGTTACTTAAAGAGATATAAGTAAATGCAATGCACGAGTCTTGACTTTTTGATTTTGATTTATTTAAAAACTAAGATTTTTTTGGCAGTTGGGAAAATTTGACTATTAACTGTTTATTATTAGATAATATCAACTTCCTGCTAGTGGTATGTGGTTATTAAGAATGTTATGATGAGGGCCTCCCTGGTGGCGCAGGCGGTTGAGCGCAGCGCTGTGAAGCTGTCCGCAGCCTCTGCAGCACGGGTTTGATCCTGGCCGGCTGGGGAGATACCCATATGGCGTGGCAGACCTCTCCTGTCTTACCTGCTGCTCTCTCCAGCAGTGTATTTCCATCAGTCTGCCTGTTCTGCTCCCTACTCTGTGTCTGGTGAATCCTCTCACCCTCCCGCACATCTGGCCTGTGCTTGTATGCATGAATAAAAAAAAAGAATGTTATGATGAGATTTCAGAATTTAGGAATCAAGAATTTAGGAATCAAGATGTCTATAGCTTTTAAATAGTTTGGCAAAAAATGTTGGTCTAAATATAAAAGAGCAAAGTGAATATTGCATCTATCTAAATAGTGAAAGGCTATTTAAATTTTTCTGTAAAATAGCACATATAACTCAACAAAAAGAAAACAACCTGATCAAAAATGGGCAGAAATGCTAAATAGGCAATTCTTCAAAGAAGACATGCAGATAGCAAACAGGTACATGAAAAAAATGTTCATCATCACTTATCAGGGAAATGCAAGTCAAAACCACAATAAGGTATCACCTCACGCCAATGAGAATGACCCATATCAAAAAGACCAGAAATAACAAGTTCTAGTGAGGGTGTAGAGAAAAGGAAACCCTCTTACACTATCGGTGGGAATGTAGACTGGTCCAGCCCCCATGGAAAGCAGCCCTCAAAAGACTGAAAATGAATCTTCTATATGCCTAGAAATTCCACTGCTAAATATCTACCCAAAGAACACAAAAACATGAATTTGAAAGGAAACCTGCACCTCCATGTTTATTGCAGCACTACTTAAAATAGCCAAGATATGGAAACAGCCTACTTAGGTGGATCAAGAAGATATGGTATATACACAATGGAATACTACTCAGCAATCAAGAAAGATAAACTCATGCCATTTGCGGCAACATGGACTGATCTGAAAGGGATTATGCTAAGCAAAATGAGACAGGAGGAGAAATAAAAATTACTGGATGGGGTCACTTATGCGTAGAATATAGACATTGCAAAAGGGTCAAAGACAAACATTAAAACCAACCCTTGAAAGCTGACCACAGATCTGAGGCATCCAGAAGGGGAGGTGGGGAGCATAATGGATTAGTGTGGAGGGCTATGGGTGCTTTGGTGGTGGGAGAGCTACAGTGACTACACCTGAGGGGAGAAATCCTCCAAAATACCATAAAAATTAACAAGAAGGTAAAACAATGATGCTTCATTTAAATGTTTTTTTTCATTAGGCTTGAAAATTCAAAAAATATCTTTACTTTGAAATAAGGGGGAAGTACACTTCCCTCATAGGAACCAATGTAAAGTTCTAGCCTGAGTGCTTGACCCCTATAAACAGCCAGATTCAGTAAACAGACGTTATTATTACTAGTAAGAATCATGAAAATCTCATAATTTTCCTCTATAGGTGTCCTCATGCTTTGGAGGATAAGGAAGTCAAGCTAGGTTAAATTAAAATAGTCCACAGTTGGTGGAGGGGTTAGAATTTAAATTGGAATGGTCTTTCTGTGTAGACCCACGCCCACAGAAACCACAACACGAGGCCTGCCTGCCTCATGCTGGGAGAAAATGACTGTGAGAGGCTTGCTTCACCTGCCTCCTCCTGAACCCAGAATCTCCTCTTCTATCGCAGGAAGGAAATTCCTATTATAGCTAATGAAGAATATTCACGCAGAGGTCACTTCGATCTTCACAAATGTTGTGGCTGATCAGAACAAGTTAGAGGGTTTTTTGGGGGAAGAGGAAAGTGCATGGGCTACTTGTCACCTGGCCTCACATTTGAATCAGACTTTGCCATTAACTAGTTGTGTGGTCCTCCGCCAATTCCTGGGCCGATGATGATGATAATAACAAGTTAATAACGACTGGCACTTATGGAGCAGTTACTACTGTACTAGGCACTTTATGCATGTTAATTTCATGGATGAAATAACTACTGTTATTGTCCCTACTTTATAGACCAACCATGCCAGGCCCTCTCCTAGCTGTGCAGTTTGCATCTGCCCTCTCCCTTGCCTGCAAATCCCATTCATCCGCCAGGCCCCTCGACTGCAATTCATTGTGTCTTATGCATCTCCAAAGCATTTTATTCTTAACTCCTACCAAGGCCCACTTTACTTAAGTAGAATGGTGGCTGGTCACCATGTTGAGGATGGAATCTCCCCTTGTCTGCTGCCCCAGAAGCAAAGTAGGGAAAGAGGAAGTAATATTCCCCATTTAGTCAGATTTATTTTCCCCATCCTAGACTATCATCTACCAATAGGGAGGTTTATTACCCTCTTGTGAATTCAACAACAACAACAACAACTTTTGTTTGAAAGCACACTTGAATTTTAAATCTGGAATCTAATGGCCAGGAGACCACTTGGAAAAAAAGTAAGGACTCCCACTGTGTAGATGGACAGGACGTGGGGGTAAATCTCAAGAATGACAATACTCAAGTGAATAATGTCTCTCAGTAATACAGACACTTCACTTTACTCACAGTCCAACAGGACAAAGACTGGTTCACAGCCTGCCTGGGGCACTATGTAGGGGCACTGCCCTTCACGTTCCCTTTTTGGCCTCCTCACACTCAATAGCTGTATCTTTAGCTCTATTTTGCTCATTTCCTATCTTCTCCTGCCCAACAGGGCATGGGATAGGAAAAGGTGGGCTGGAGGAGGGAAGCCACCTGACCTGGCACAACTTCCCCATTTGCTCAGCAAAGTATTCTCTCAGCTGGGGTAGACACCCAACCACCACCACCATTCCTCATTTTTTTCAGAGTTTTCCTTTTTCTCAGTTTACGCCTAGGCTTCACCATGTGGTTTTTTTCCTCAGTCACAAAGACCCCATTTTAACCACCCTGCTCATTATGGTCTTCCTGCTTTTCACAGCAATTATAATTTAGAAACAAAGATTTTCAAATCCATCTCCTTAGTTCATCCTCAAAATAACCTGCCTTACAGGTTGGCATTCAGAAGGGTCAAGGAAGTTGGTCCTGTCACACAATCTGTGAAGCTCAGCCCTTCCAACCTGTACCTCTGGGTCCCTGCAGCGCCGGGGGCGGGGTGGGGTGGGGTGGGGGTAAAGCAGGGCTTTTGGAGCAAGGAGTGATTTTGGGCAAGTTACTTCTCTGAGCCTCATGTCCCTCATCTGCATATAGATGCAGTAGGTCCTCTAATAACAGCCTTTTGTTATGACGTTGAGAAATAAAACCCTTGCTGCCATTGAACGAACCCAGAGGACTGACTTTCCTTATTCGTTTGGTCAAGGAGGCTTCCAGAACCCATCTACCACATCGAGGACGTACTGCAACGGTGACACCTGCACAGGGTGCGAGTTGAATGAGATCATGTGTGTGACGCACTGAGTTCCAGGGATAGGCTCTTTATTTCCAGCCGCAGGAAGGACGAGGTTCTGCGCATCCACAGGTGCTTGCCCGCGTGACCTCCCCCAGGCCCAGAGCGGCCGACACGGGGCTTTTCAGAGTTGGGCGGGGTCTCTCTCATTTTTGGGCCGCCACCCCTCCATCCCTAAGGTTTCCCTGTCCACCCTACCCAACCCCACCCAGGTTGCCTCGTGGGCCTTCTCTGCACCCGACCCGACACCAGCGCGCTCTCACCTAGCGGCCCCGCCCCTCCGTGCTCCACCCAACCAGACTCCTCCCACAGCCTCGACCCTCTAAATCCGGGCTTTTCCTACCCTCACCATCCGTCCTGGCTCCTCCCCACGCCCCCACCCCCTAGGGGCCCCGCCCCCAGCCCCCGATACGTGCCCCCCTCTTGCAGGCACCGGCGCTGCCGCGTGCATTGCACAGGTGAGAACGGCGCGGGCGCTCTAGGCTAATCACCTCTCGTGCTAAGCCACCTGCCCAGGTGGGCCGCGTCCCCTCGACGGCCGTCCCTGGTCCCGTGCCCCCGATCGCGCCGCACCCACCTCCTGCCCTCGCTCCGCAACCTCCCCTCCGCGGGCGGCCAGCGCAGCTCGGCGAGGGGGCGGAGGACCCGCGCTCAGCCCCGGGGCGTGGCACCCGGCTCCACGCGCTGCACTTGGGACTTGTAGTCCTGCGCGGGCTTTGTCAGGCGCGCGGCGCCCAACGCGAACTCCATCTCCCAGGGGGCACCGCGCCGGCCGCGCCGCTCCCCGCCCGCGCCCCCGCCGGCGCCCGGGCCCGCGGCCCTTAAAGGGGACGCTGCCGGGCGGCAGTTTGCGGGGTGGCCTCCGCGCCGGCCCCGCCCCGCGCCCCGCGCCGCACCCCGCCCCCTCCCCGGCCTCGGCTCGCTGCCCGGCGGCCGCGCGGCTGAGTGCTCTGCCCCGGGCAGGCTGTGCAGAGCAGGAGAGGGGGTGCGCTTCTCCGCCGGCAGCATCCTTGCCGCCGGGACCCGCGGAGGGCGGCCCCCTCGGGTGCGCGCCCAGGGCCCGCCCAGACCCGGCCTGGCCCAGCCTATTTCTACCGGACCCGAGCGCCCCGCCCAGAACCGGCGTTGAGGCGGGGGCCCCCGGGGCCGGAGGTAAGGGGCTGGGGGCGTGTGCGGCTTGGGAGGACGGAGCGTCCGACCCCGGCGCCCGCAGAGCCGGGAGGAGCGCCGGGGCGTGCGGAGGCCGGGCCGGGGCGGAGGGTGGGCGCAGCCCGGCCCTCGCTGTGTGACCTTGGGCGAGTAGCTGTCCCTCTCTGGACCTCAGTGCCCTTCTTCGCCATTGCGTGGGGAGGTGATTCCGCCCCGTCCCATTCTAGGCGGGGGCACCTGCACCCGGTACTGAGAAGCTCGCTGGCTTCTTTGGGGTCCGCAGCCCCAGCCTGGGTTGGGCGGTGCGCGGGGATAACTCGAGGGAGGGGGTGGGGCCGACTGGGGTAAAACTGGGCAGACCTAGGGGCTGTCAACACTTGGAATGGGCTTCTGCTCTCCTCCGCATCCCTGGCCACTCTTCCTCTGCAGGAGTCCCGGCGACCAGGAACCCCTGATGTGTCAGACGGGGGTGCCCGTTCCAGAAAGCCTGGGGTGGGGGTGGGGACTCGGATGGTGACTGTGTGAGGGGCGGCCCCCAGCAGGGACCGGTGAGTGTGATGTGTCCCTAAGAAGGGAATATATGTCCCCACCCTCTTCCCTTCTCTTCCACCGTCCCCTTCAGTAAAAGAACAGTTGCTTTTTTTTTTGAATTTTAAACCAGTAAGCCCCCTTTACCTACTTAAATTTCCAGGAGGGTTTGGTGACCCTGCAAGGACCTCCCAGTAGCAGTGCAAGAGACACCCACCCAGGGCTTCCTGGAGTGAAGTTTGTCTAGAGACCTGGGGTGGTGGGCAGAAATGGAGGGCACATCTGGGTATGTGGAGGCGCACCCCGGTGTCCCCTGGCTCTCTAGCACCCAGGGGGGTCAGGGAGGGAGAATGGGTGTGAGGGTCACAGAGGAGAGGAATTGGGCTCCTCCCTCTTAGGTGCTGGGGGCGGGGGTTGGGGGAGTGGTTCTGCTCCCTGCTAGGGAGAGTTCGGGTGAGATCTTGAAGCCCACTCCCTGCCTCATGAGGCTCAACGAGCTTTTGACCTGAGCATTTACCAGAACAGTTCTTGTTTTAGATTTTTCTTTAGTTTTGGTTGGTTGAGTCACTTCTAGAATGGCTAAAGGCTCACGCAGTCCCTTCCAGGGGCTTTCTTGCTCTATGTGTGAGATTCTCAGGGTTATGCTACGTAAGACCAGTGTGGGTAGACCAGTCCCTGGAAGGGACTTGCTGTCACATATCTCTCACCGGCCACTTGGCACTCCCTCACTTCTGTGCATGGTCCTGCGCTGGGCACTGGACTCAGATGGGGGTGTGGGCCACTTCCTATCAAAAGAGATGCCAGCCCGGTGGGGGAGGTAGACAGAGACTCTGGTTACACTGCAGGGCAATGAGGGGAAATAGGAGGCCTTGGGAAGCCAGAACTCAGACTTGCATTGCAGGGGCATTAGGAAAGGCTTCCCAGAGGAGAGGGCATGTGACCTGGGCACTGAAGGATAAATTAGAATTTTCCAGGAGAGAAGAGGGAGAAACTCTTTCCCAGCAGAGTGCATCACTGCAAATTGGCAAGCAGGAAAAAACCCTCTGCCCCAATTCCTGTAGATTCACCACTGAACATTGTTTTTCAAGTTCATCTCTCCCCTGCCCCACCTCAGCCTTAGTGTCACAGAAAGGGCTTAAATGTCCAGCTCAGTAACCCCGTTGGACCTAATCCTGAAGGGGTTAGGGAAACCTTGCGAGTCCTGAGCTGGGGGTATGGCAGGATTGAACTGGTTTAATGAGGTTAATCTGTTTGCAGGGGGAGCTACTAGGGAGGAAGAAGCAGCCTGAACTGGGACCAGGGCAGAGCATTGCTGTTGCACACACACACACACACACACACACACACACACACACACACTCTCTCTTTTCTCTCTCTCTCTCTCTCTCTCTCTCTCTGAGTGCTTTAGGGTGATGAAGATGAGTCAGGCTCCACCATGCAGGGTCAGAGACCTGTCAATACGCAATGGCAATGCGGAGGGTAATCTGAGAGGGATAGATAAAGGGTTATGTGCCCCGTAGGGGAGGGATCACGGTTTTCCTGTGCATTACTCTGTGCCCTGAGAGTTGCTGGGACTCCCAGGCTGTCGCACCAGCAGTGACAAGTTTATTCCTGCCAAGGGTGTGGGGAGGAGCAAGCATCATGGCTGGGAAAGGAGGAAGGGCTGGTAGGTATTCACCTCCTGTTTGGGCGTTCAGAGGGTCAGAGACGGGAAAGCACCAACCTCTGTGGCCACTGTGGAGAGAGGTGACTCGGCTGGATTTGAAGCCTGGACTCTAATCATCCTCCATGGATTGAGGAGATTGGCTGGGAGGCACCTGTATACTAGACCAGGAAAGAAATAAAGAGGAGTTGATCTTGGGTGGGGCTGGAGAGCTGGTGGAAATGCTACATTTCCAGTGAGGGCTAATATTAGGATGGAATTTGTAGAATTAGTAGTATCAGGAGTGTGTGTCTTCTTCCCTGTCAGTGTCTGTTTTGGACCTTAGGACCCTCTGGCCCAAGAATAGAATGGTGACTGCCCCAACCCCATAGTGGTAGACCTGAAATGATTTCCATCTTTTCTAGGTGAGAAGGCTGAGGAGTGCCAGGGACTTGTCCAAGGTCACTTGGTGATTCTGAAACAGAGAATCTGGTTCTCATGCTTTTAGTGCAGGCACTTCCAAGGGAGGACACAGCTGCTGCGTTTGGCTGGACAGCTGTCTTTTGGGTCAGGGCCAGCATCAATAGGCCATCTCCTCATCCAGAACCTAGAGGGGGAATCCAGCTTCCTCTGAGGACCGCTGGTGGCCTCAGAGAGGCCAAGTGCAGGTTCTAAACCCACCCTGTCAAGTCCATGTCTCCCTAGCCGAGCCTCTGTTCCCCCATTCTGTAAATATCACTTATATGCATGGGGATTTAATATGCTTTCTACCAGGGCCTCCCTGGTGGTGCAAGGGGTTAAGATGCAACCTATGAAGCTATCCGCAGTCACTGCTGCACGAGTTCGATTCCTGGCCAGGGAGCTACCCACATGCCGTGGCAGATCTCTCCTGCTTTGCCCGCTGCTCCCTTCGCCGGTGTATTTCAGTCGATCTGCTTGTTCTGTTCTCCACTCTGTCTCTGGTGAATCTTCTCATCCCCCCTCCTCTGTCCTGTACCCCAGTTCTTGTATGGCTAAATAAATCTTTAAAAAAATATGCTTTCGACCATGATGCCAAGAAATCCAGGTATTCAGGCAGCCAGGAAGAAGCCCTCATCAGTGAGTTACTGACATCATGTGGGGGGGAAGAGAGCGTGGGGCAGCAGATCTTGTCTTGCTTCCCTTCACTGATGGGTCAGGTGAGGGCTAAACGCAAAACCTTTTTTTTTCATGAATGCATTCAAGACATTATCGAGTGGGTTTGTTGGTGACCATGGTGACAATTGATCTCAGATTGCCTGGATGGAAGTGGGGGCAAGTAGGCAGGACTTGCTTGGTGTGCCAGGCCATGGACTGCAGAGGTTACAGGGCTGGCTCCGGAGATCAGAGCCCCCCTACAATGGCTGCACTGCATTCCAGCTGCCCGCGCAAACCCCACTGTGAGTACTAGGTATTAGGTAGAACAATATGAAATAGCCAACATCTGATTATTCATGTTCATTGGTCTAGCCTGATATCATTTATGCCCATTTTACATAAAAGAGGCTCACAATGAGATTAACTCAAGGTCACTCTGGAATGCAGGACTCTTCTTATCTAGTTTGGTTTCCTAGTCCCAGAACTCCATTTCTGCCTGCCCCATACTCTCTTCCTCCCTGCATGATGTCAGTAACTCATTGATGAGAGTTTCTCCCTGGCTGCCTGAATACCTGGATTTCTTGGTAGAAAGCATATTAAATGCCCATGCATATCAGTGATATTTACAGTGTACTGTAGCCTGTTAAGTGTGCAGTGGCTTTATGACCAATGTCTAGACCTTAGATAACCAAATACTTTATTACTAAAAACTGCTAACCATTATCTGAATCTTCGGCCAGTTATAATCCTTTTGCTCTTGGAGGGTCTTACCTCAATAGTGATGACTGCTGATGGTGCAGGTGGTGGTTGCTGAAGGCTGGGGTGGCTGTGGCAATTCCTCAAACAGAGCGATTTAAGTTTGCTGCATTGATTGACTCTTCATCCCACAAAAGATTTCTCTGAAGAAGCATGTGATGCTGTTCGATAGCATTTTACCTACAGAACTTCTTTCAAAACTAGAATCAATCCTCTCAAACCCTCCCCCTGCTTTATCAACTAAGTTTATGTAATACTCTTTGTTGTCATTCAGTAGTGTTCACAGCACCTTACCAGGAGTAGACTGTACCTCAAGAAACCACTTTCATTCACAAGAAGCAACTCCTCCGTTTGAGTTTGCTCATGAGGCAGCAGCAATTCAGTCACATCTCCAGGCTGCACTTCTCATTCGCGTGTTATTTCCTCCGCAGCTGGAGTTACTTCCAAAAATAATCACAATAGTAACATGAAAGATCACAGATCACAGTTTTAATAATAGTCTGAAATATTGTGGGAATTATTAAAATGGGACACAAAATGGGAATTTCAAAGTGAGCACCTGCTCATGGAAAAATGGCATCGATAGATCTGCTGAGCGCTGCGGGCCACAAGCCTCCCATTTGTTAAAAAAAAAAAAAAAAAAATCAGTGACGCACAATAAAGTGAAGCTCAGTAAGATTAGATGTGCCTGCAAGCTCTCCAGAGGCACTCTGCAGTGACTGGCTTGGGAGATACCAGCCACGGAAAATAATTCCTGGTGCCTGCTTGGAGGAGCGCACTGCTCCGTGGGAGACAGAAGTTTATTTAACTGGCCCATAGGCTTGTAACACAGGCAGTAATGAAGTTTGGTCTTGCCAGAGAGGTAGAATGGAGCAGAGCATCTCCATAGGGCCTGCAACTTAGTTGAGGTCCCACAACATATTGTTCTCAGTAAAAGCTTCCTGCTCCTCTTCTATGAAGTTTCTGGCTTGTTTTCACACCAACTTGAGGTTTCAAGATTAGAGCAGTTTTTGTTGAGGCAATTAGTCAATACTTACTGCATTCTGAATCTTCTATCAGGTCCTGCCTAGAGTGGGACTACACAAAGCAGACACATGGCACTGCCTCCTAGGCACTGAGAGGTGGATATTAAGAGCAAGCTGTACCTATGTGAACCAGCCTGAGAATCAGGAATCAAAGTGGGTCAATTAGGGATGAGGGCTTCTGGGAAATAGCCCCAATGGGGGGGAATGGCAGAAGGCAGGCTATTGTAGGCAGGGGAATAAGGCAGCAGTAACTCACACCATATTCTGCATTTGCTCATTCAGCATACACCTACTGTGTGCAGGGACTGTGATAAGAGCTGGGAATACTGTGGTGAACAAATTCTGACATGGTCCCTGCCCCCAGGAACCTATATAATATCATGGAAGAGGCTGACCCCAGACAAGTAATCATGACAAGTGTTCAAAGGAGGACAGGGTGCTCTGAAATTGTTACCAGGGACCTCAGACCTAGACAGGGAGATTGGGCAGGCTTCCTGAGGAAATGAGGTTGAGGATGAGCTAAATAAGAAGGGGTGGGAAAAGCAGTGAGGGGCTAGTGTGGGCTGAGGCAGGCAAAGCTCTGGATGTGCAGGGCTGAAGCTCTGGGGTGGATGCTGTTTCAGTGGCAGGGATTTGGACTTGGAGCAACCTGCCATTCTGTGATCGGGCATCATCTGTAGTGGAGGAAGAGGCCACACGTGGCTCTAGGAATGAAGAGGGAGTAATGCCTGTGGGTGAAGGGATGATTTCATTAAAGAGAGATCTGGGTTGGGCTTGGAAGGAAAATAGGAGTTTGCCTGATTTTGAGAGTGCAGTGGTGGCCATCTTGGGGGATAGGCTGTTTCAGGCAAAAGGCATACACAAAGTATACACAAAGAACTGGCGTCCTGGGAAGGCGTAGAGCATTGCAGAAAGAGCAAGAGGTTGATTGGGGGCACAATAAATTGTAAGGGATCTCAGGGAAGCCTGTGGGTCTTTCCTCGGGACCTCAAGCCCTCCCTCCCTTCCTAGAGTTGTGATTTGTGTCCATGTATGTGCCTCCCCACTCTCCCATGACTCTGGACAGCAGCCCCAGCCTGCTTGTCCCAAGAGTGGAGGCTGGGGAGAGAAGGGCGCAGGGCCGGGAGGAGGGAGAAGGCTCAGGTGCTGCCTTTGTGCGAGCACAGATGCTCATCAGCAGTAACTCCAACTCCTTGGCGTCTGTCTGCCAGTCACTGCGCTTTACTTCATCCCAGCTGCTGGCCGCACAGATTGAGGATCCCGAGGGCCCCAAAGGCCGAGTCGCTCGCCCACGGCTCGGGACGCAGAGGGCCGGTGGGGAACTGGGCCTGTCGGAGGGAGGCTGACCCTTGTCCCTGTCCCCGCAGCGCGGCCGCCATGGACAAGATCCTGGAGGCGGTGGTGACGTCGTCCTACCCGGCCAGCGTGAAGCAGGGGCTGGTGCGGCGCGTGCTGGAGGCGGCGCGGCAGCCGCTGGAGCGGGACCAGTGCCTGGCGCTGCTGGCGCTGGGCGCGCGCCTCTACGTGGGCGGCGCGGAGGAGCTGCCCCGCCGCGTGGGCTGCCAGCTGCTGCACGTGGCGGGCCGCCACCACCCCGAGGTCTTCGCCGAGTTCTTCAGCGCGCGCCGGGTGCTGCGGCTGCTGCAGGGTGGCGCCGGGCCGCCGGGCCCCCGCGCGCTGGCTTGCGTGCAGCTCGGCTTGCAGCTGCTGCCCGAGGGGCCGGCGGCCGACGAGGTGTGCGCCCTGCTGCGGCGCGAGGTGCTGCGCACCGTGTGCGAGCGCCCGGGGCCCGCCGCCTGCGCGCAGGTGGCTCGGCTGCTGGCGCGGCATCCGCGCTGCGTGCCCGACGGCCCGCACCGCCTGCTCTTCTGCCAGCAGCTGGTGCGCTGCCTCGGCCGCTTCCGCTGCCCCGCGGAGGGCGAGGAGGGCGCCGTCGAGTTCCTGGAGCAGGCCCAGCAGGTGAGCGCGCTCCTGGCGCAGCTGTGGCGGTCGCAGCCCGCCACCATCCTGCCCTGTCTCAAGGAGCTGTTCGCTGTCATCTCCGGCACAGGTGCGTGTGCCCCGGGGGCCGGGCGGGAACTCGTGCACGCCAGGTGCTGTGCACACACACACACACACACACACACACGAGCAGGCGGTGGTTTGTGCTCATTCTGCTCGGCGTGCCCACGTGGTGCAAGGGGCTGATTTCATTTAGTTAGCAAGCCTCTGCTGAGCTACTGGGAAGCCTGCTCTGTGATGGGTGCTGGGCGCGCAGGAGGGGGCCGGTCGCCTGGCGAGGGAGAAGGACGCAGGCAATCGGTCTGGTTAGAGAGAGGCCGGGGGCCGCGGGGGCTGAGAGAGACCACAGGGAGGGGTGAGTCCTCATGCCTTTTGGGTTAGGTGAGTTTCATAGACGTGGTGCCTTTTGAGTCAGGCCTGAGAGCTGGGTAGCAGGGTTGAGGAGCTGTGGGCAGGCTGAGGCGAAGGTCTGGAGAGGCCATGGAGCCTGAAGGAGCCGACCCCGAAGTGTCAATTTTTGCCCCCCTCCCTCACATTGACAACCCGAGTTTGGACTCTAGTATAAACTACTGAAATAAGGTCTGTGCTGTCTTTGGTTCTAGTGCTGTGCAGGTGGAAGGGAGGGAATGCACCTGGCAGGAAGAAGTGCCCAATTTTGATAACTAAATGTTCTTTCTCACCTCTAGGCCTTTGTCCATGTGGTTCTACCTGGAATGTCCTCCCTTTCCCCAAGTCCACATAGCTCTCCTACCTGTTCTTGTGAGCTCCAGTGTTATCCCTTCTAAAGGCCTTTCCTGTACACACAGTTGGGGATCAGTACTTTTCTCTGGGCCCAGAGCTGGACCCAAAGTAGTGCCAGTGGTTGTCCAGTGAATGAGTTAATATGGAATCAGAGGCTGTGATGCTGTAGGAGGCTAGGAGGTGGCCTCGCTTGCTTTTTGCAGAGGCCCAGCCTGGTTCCTGGGCAGCTTGAGGGTCTGGAGTGGTGGGGGAGGTGAGGAGCCCATCTGCCCTGCTAAGCTCAGTCCAGCCTCCTATTCCAGAAGAAGAGCCGCCGTCTAGCGCCCTGGCCAGTGTGGTGCAGCACCTCCCATTGGAGCTCATGGATGGTGTTGTCCGGAACCTCAGTAATGATGACAGTGTGACGGATGCCCAGATGTTGACCGCCATCAGCAGGTGGGTTGAAGGTAGGGTGTCGTTAGGTCACTTTCCACTGGTTGCTGGGCTAGGGTTAGGGTTCCAGGACTTTGACCCTCATACTTGTTCATTCATTTGTTCTTTCTTGAGCCCTGCGCTGTGTCTGAACCTGGGCTGGTTGTGGGAGACACAGAACCTGGCCCCAATAATGCTCTGAGGCGGGGTACTGGCTGTGTGATGCTGGACAGGTCAGTGAACTATCTGAGCCTCAGCGTCCCTCTCTGATAACTGAGGGGCGATAATTAAGAGGTCGTCAGGCCTTCATGGGCTCATGTCAGGTAAAAGTACTTTACAAAGTGCTTTCTGAGTTAGGCAAGTATGATAAACAGTTTGGGGTACCTTCAGCTCATAGAGCTCTTGCACCACCCCCATCTCATTTGAATATCATCACACTCGTGATCTAGCCACACCCGCCCATGCAGTGATGCCTGCAGGCCTTTGTCTATGCAGACTCCATCCACCTGGGGTGCTTCTCCCTGCCATTCCTTGCACACCTGTATGCAGAGCCACCATTTCTCTCATTACTTTCTGGATTCCTTGTTTTTAGTGGGTAAGAGTGTGGACTCGGGTGCAATGCCTGAGTTCAAACCCTGGCTCTTCTGCTGCTTGCCTGTGTAAATGTGGGCAAGTTATTCAGTTTCTCTAGGCTTTGGCTTCTTGGAGGGTAAGTGAATTAATCAGGCGTTTTACACAACTAGCCTCTGTGGTTATCACCTGCGGCCTTGACTTGTTGATGCAAAAGGTGCTTTGGGACGTGGGCACGGGGCACGGGTGCCTGATTGTGGATACCTGGAGTATGGTGTGGGCATGCGTAAGTGTGCATACTGGAGCCTCGAAGTTAGGACTATAAGGCAGCGTCACTCAGACAGGAAGGCTGCAAGAGGACTAGTGGTGTGACTACAGAGGAGGTAAGACCACGAGAGGATGAGAGAGAACGCTAGAGAGGGCCCAGAGAAAGCGTAAAGATTCCCTCAGGCCTGGGGGGCTTGCCAGCTTCCCAGCCCCTGCTGGAGGGGCGAGAGGGTGACTCTTCTCCTCTATCCCTCCTCTCCCCACCCCCTACCCCTGTCCCCTGCCTTGCTAGCCTGCGGGCTTGCCACTACACTTCTTCATTTATAAAATGTATAATTGGACCCATTTTAGAGGGTTGTTACAAGGATTAACATTAGATAAAATGAGAATTCATGTAAAGTGCCTAGAAGCTATTGTTATCAGAATTACTGTTTGTTCTCATTGTTCTACCTCTTTTGGGCACAGTCTACTAAGTATAAAAATCATGATAGTGGGCCTCCCCGGGGGCGCAGCAGTTGAGCGCTGGGTTGCGAAGCTGCCTGCAGCCGCTGCAGCGCTGGTTCGATCCCCGGCTTCTCCCCGGCCACCGGAGGAGGGTCCCACATGGCGCGCAGACCTCTCCTGCCGCCCGCTGCTCCCCTCAGCAGTGTGCTTCGGTCCTTCTGCCTGCTCTGCTCCCCGCTCTGGCTCTGGTGAGTTCTCTCACCCTCCCGCCCTTCTGACTGTACCCAGTGCATGTATAAACAAACAAACAAATAAATAATACATGCCTCTTTAAAAAAAAATTAAATTAAAAATCATGATAGTGCTGATGATTTCCTGTGCCCCTCTACGTGGCAGCTTCCGGCTCATTGGCACTGGCTTTGTGCTGTGGAGGTCAGATGTGTTACTGCACAGAAGCAAACAGTGGATACTACATAACTGTTAACTATTAAAATCTTTTTTAATCATGCAACACCCTGGTACTGTCCCCATTTTACAGAGGAAGAAATAGGCCTTGCCTCTCCAGTCCACCTGTGACTATGCAGGTGCCTCTTTTCTCCTTTTCCTAGTAAACCTGTCCTTTTAAATGTAAAAAGAAAAAAAAAAACCCTAGTCCTAGAGAGAGTAAAAGACTTGTTTCAAGCCTCAGGCAGGGGTTTGCTGGAGTTAGAGCTGCTGCGGGATCAGTGCTCTTCCTACTGTTGGATCCACTGCAGCCTAGTGTTTGTAGGGGTGAGGTTTGGGGTTCTGATAGGGCCTGGCTCCCTTCCTGCTGGACTGGGAGCCCCAGGCTCTGCCAGGTGCCTATTATGAGCTCCTTTGTCATTCACAGAGATGTCTTGTTCATCCCACGGAGCCCAGGGCTGCCCTGCGCAGGTGTGAGTCAGTGTGGGGCTTCGGGGCATTTGGGCTTGTCTCGGCATTGTCCCAGCATTGTCCCACCCTGCTGTTTGGACCTCCCTGGTTCCTGTATCACCGCTTTTCCCCTAAGCAGAATGATCGACTGGGTGTCCTGGCCCCTGGGGAAGAACATTGACAAGTGGATCATCGCACTGCTGAAGGGCCTCGCTGCTGTTAAGAAGTTCAGCATCTTGATCGAGGTTTCACTTGCCAAAATTGAAAAGGTTGGTGGTCCCTGTCCTCCCCAGCTTTTGGCCTCTTCTGCTGGTCTCTTCCCAGGGGTGGTGCAGAGCATTGGGGTGTCCAGAAGCGCTCTCACCTGGGATGTTTCTCTACCCCTCTCTGTTTCTACCCCTCATTCATTTCTCTGATTGCTCATTTGGGCATGGAGTCTGTTGCTCTGGGTTTGTGCATCCATCTGATATCTGTCCTGCTCTCTGTTTCACCATCTGTCCACCCAGGGCTGTGCTTACCTCTGTTCTTCTGTATGGGGCCACTGCTTCAACCTCATGTCTCTGATGACCCCCTCAGGGCCTTGGGAACACTCAGCCTCAAGTGGTCCAGGCCTGGGGGATTCCTGACTTAGGGACTTTTTTCCAGGTTTTCTCCAAGCTTCTATACCCCATTGTCCGGGGAGCCGCCTTGTCTGTCCTCAAGTACATGCTCCTAACCTTCCAACACTCCCACGAGGCCTTCCACCTGGTAAGGGCCCCTGCTTGCTGCCCCAAGGATGGGAAACCCTGTTAGCCCCACTGGTTTGGCTGGACACAGACATGCTGACTTTGTTGGGGGTTGAAGAGGTCGGGTTTGATCCTCAAGACCTTTACACCCTTGATGTCAGAGCTAGAAGAGATGTGAGACCCCATTTTACAGATAGGAAGCAGGCCTGAGAATTTGTATGGCCTCCGGGTGGTCTAAAGTGCCCCCCCTAAGATGATGACAACTGAGGTTCCTTGGGGGGGTACTAGATGTGTGCTAGTACAGCGCTAATGCTGTACGTATGTTCACTCCCTTAATTCCTGTAATAGGCTCGAGAAGGAGGTTCTACGTTTTCTTCATTCTTCAGCTGAGGAAACTGCAGTTTAGGGAGGGAAAGTCGCTTGTCTTAGACAAAGCTGGTGAGAGTACAAGGAAGATTCTAGCCAAGTTAATCTGACTCCTGACCCAGTGCCCTTCCTACATCTTTCTGACCACCAGAACCCAGGTGGCCTGGCCTCTAGCACAGGGCCTGATCTGTCTTCTGGGCCCTCCCTTGGGAAGGGAGGGAATGCTGGGGGAGTGCACTCCTTCTGCCTGACTTCCCTGGCATGCAGAAGGGGGCCCAGATTCTGATGGGCAGAAACTTCATGCTTCCCAATTTGCTGCAGTAGGAAAAGCACAGAACCAGGGATTGGGATACTGGGGGGTTGTGTCCCAGCTCTCATTTGCTAGATGATGACCTTGGACCAAGCCCTTAACCTCTCAGAGCATGGAACAGGGGTCAACCTCTAGGATGGTGGGAGAGGATTAGAAGAGATGATAATTGTTGAGCGCCTGCCACAGTCTAGGGATGCCAGTCTTATTTCTTTCCATCCTTCTCTTGGAATTTTTTGGTTCCAGTTCCTGTAGCCTGTATGCCCCTGGAATGTTGTGGTAGAGCACCCTTTGTAGCACAGAGGAAAGAAACAACTTCTGTCCTAACCCATGGTGAAATTCTTGGCAAATTATGTAGCCTAATTTCAATTTCATCTATAAAATTGCTGCCACATAAAGTCATGAAGGTGAAGTGCTTGACACAAAAATGCTTGAAGAGTGGTGGCATTTGCCTCTAGAGGCTGTGTCTCTTACTCTATGCAGGCTGCCCACCAGCTGGTCACTCTCACCCCTGGGTGGGAGAGCGCCCTAGCACTCAGCCCTTCAGGCTGTTTGGGCAGGTTGTTTGGCCAAGATAAAACAGCTGCATCTCTGGCTCGACTGTGAAGAGGTCATTGTGTATCCCATTTTACAGGTGAAAAGATTGAGGCAGGGGGTCGAAGCTCACATATCTTGTAAAATGAGTCAGTGGTCTACAGAATTCAGAGCCCAGTGTAGGGGGGTTAGGGTGACAGTGGTCAGGTTGCAGACCTTCTGTTTCAGGCACGCTGGGTGTCTGCATGCCACCCATTATCCCACATCTCAGGTAGGTCACCTGGTACCGGGCCTAACTCTGCTTTGCTTTCACAGCTTCTCCCTCACATCCCCCCCATGGTGGCCTCTCTGCTCAAGGAGGATTCCAACTCAGGGACCAGTTGCCTGGAGCAGCTGGCGGAACTGGTGCACTGCATGGTGTTCCGTTTCCCAGGCTTTCCAGACCTGTATGAGCCAGTCATGGAGGCTATAAAGGTGAGTCACAATCTCCCGCTGCTCTGACAAGGCCATACTACAGATTGGTGGCACCCTGTGCTCATTTGGTTGTCTCTCAACTCTCCCTACCCGTCCTGTGCTTTAGACACACTAAGTCACCTGCCATTCCCACGTGTGCTGTCCTGGTGATTGCTCTGAGCCTTTGCATATCCCCTTCTTTCAAACTGTAAACCCTTTTCTTGTTCTGCCTGGATACCTACGTGTCCTTTAATGCGCTGTGTAAGTTAACTTCCCTCAAGAAACCTTCCCTGGTAATATCACTCCCCACCTCCCACCCCCAGGATCTCCCAGCTTGAAGCAGCCCTCTCTCACACATCACTCTGTCAGACGTCATTGTGTGTCTGTCTCTCCCAGGTTTCCTCCCCCAGGCAGTGAACATTCTAGAGCAGGGATTGTTTACCATTGTTAATGTGACTTTATTGATGCTCGGCCCAGGCTGGAAACTCAGGACACAGGCATGAGGCAGACAGGGTCTCCTCTATTGAGGAGCTTGCAGCCTAGTGGGGTGACAGACTTGTATGTATGTAACTAATCAAAGTGACTTATAAAATGCCTAAAGGGTGAGCCAGGGAGTAGTGAGGAACCAGAGGAAGAAAAGGTGTCCAGTTCAAGGAGGAGACCGCAAGGAAGAAAGGGCTTCTGAGCTGGGCTCAAAGGATTGCTAGGATAACAACTAACACTGTAGACAGTGCCACATTTGCCAGTGTTTTCCTATGTATTTTGTCTTCTGATGTGCTCATGAAAACTCTAGCAGATACTGTAATTTCGGTGTCATAGTTGAGGAAAATGAGACTAGGAGAGACTTGGTAACTTGGGCAGAGGCATAAAGGTAGTGAGAACCACAGCAGGGTCCTGGGTGCTGAATGCTTTCCCATTGCCTGATACAGAGGGCAGGCCCAAATGTAGGTGAACTGCCCATCAGACTTGCGTTTCTATAGCATGGCAGAGAGGAATCTTGAAAAATGACCCACCACAAAACACCAAGAAATGCTTTTAAAATATAACAAACTTTTTTAAAGTATATAGCTGAGTTTGCAAGAAAGTAAGAGGGACTCCTTAAGGGCCAAAAAGGAAGAGAAAACTGAATTCCAGAATGGCAAGAGATGATGCTTTTCTGTCGTGGGGTGGAGAGGGAGGGTGGGTGAGATGGGTCAGCTGTCACCAAGAGGCTGGAGTCGGTGGGCGCAGGAGTCTGGTCCTACTGGGGAGTTAGCACTAAGCAACAACTAAGCACTAAGCACTAAGCAAGTAAGGTTTTACTATTAGCAAAAGAGTGATCTAGAAAAAAAAATACACATCAAGTAAGCTTTTCTGTTTTGTCTTGGCTCTGGACTGGGAAATTTGTAATTGGTGGCCTGTCTCATAGGGGTTCAAATCCCATAATCATTTTTGGGGTGGATGCTAAACTAAAGTAGTCCTAAACCTCTAATATCTAAGTGTTGTCTAGTAGAAACAAATGTAACTGTTTCAAACTGAAGAGGAGAATTGTGCAGAAGATGAGTGTATAGCCCCCCAAATTACAAAACACAGGTGGGAAACTTCCACCGTGAGTAGGACTTGATAGACACAACAGACAAAACCTCTAACAGTTCTTGTCGGTTTTTTAATTTCACATCAGAAAGAGTTTCTTACTGAAGCCTATCTTGTCCCCTCTCATTTAAGGTAGAGAGGCAGAGGAGAAAGGATTCCACTTCTTGGAAGTGACTATTACTGTTTTCTGTTAGACTATGAGCTGCTTGTGGGCAAGAACTATGTCGTTTTGATCACTGTGCCCACTACATGTCTGAGTGAACGGGTGTGACCATATTGTGAAGCATACCATCATGGAGATGTGAACAGAGGAGGGAGTCTGGCCTGGCTGGGCACTGAGGGAAATTTGTACTGAGTATGACTCAGACTCTGAAACCTAGGGGTTTTGGTCTAACCCATGGGACGAGGTGGGTACAGATACCTGTGCTACTAGGTATAAGGAGTTAGGCCTTGTGAGACAGGTATAGGTTGTGTGGGGTCCCAGCTTGAAGGTGCTGGAAAGCCACCCATGGAGGGATGTAGGATTCAGACCTTGAGGGATGGGACTGCCAGGAGAGTCCACTTCATGCAACTTGGGGGGAAAGGAGAGGGGGTGGGAATGTTCTAGCCCACTTTGGTGATAATGTTGGTGGGATGGAGGGGAGGGATCAGCAGACTAGAGTGCCTTGAATGCCAGGCTGAGCAACTCTGCTTAATCCATGGAGGCAGCTTATCCCAAGCAGCCTAAAACAAGTGCAGTTTCTCTACAAACTCATTTTCTCTCAAGAATCAAGTATATACTTCATAATTATAAAAGTTACTTTAATATAAACACTTTCCTTGAATATTAGTGCATACATTCCAGGAGGAGGAACTACATTTGTCCTTTGGCTTTGAACAACCCTTTGGCACAAGCCTGTCTGAAGGACAAGGCAGCAGCAAATAAGTGACAGGTTTTTACAGTTTATGAAATCATTTCACATGTGTTCTATGAGTATATACTTTTTTGTATCTATGTCCTTTTATAGGTTCTGGAAAGTTCTCTTAGGCCATTATGTCTGGCTATGAAAGTTTTTTTCTGGAAGCTGTGGTCCTTGCTATGAGAGCCATTGTATGTTAAATTTCCAATAACAGGAGCTTTTAGAGGTGTTTGGAAGTTTTTGATTTATTTTCCTATGAATACAGAATTACCTTCTTTGGAAAAACTAGTATTTGATTTTTTTTTTCCATTATGGGTATTTTTTTCCATTATGGGTGTCCTCATGTGTGGGGTTCTCGGTCTTTTTGTCCATGCTTGTTCATGTTGTGTGTGTGGGGTTGGGTAGGGGCTTAGTAGAAGGAAAAAGAAGTGACTAAGAGAGAAAATACTGAGCCATTATCACCTTAAACTTTGGCAGCCCCTGCATTTAAAAAGAAATCATCTGTGAGAGATGACTAATCTGATAAATTACCTGATAAGTGATCCTAGGAAATGAGTAAGCAGAAGCGTTAAGTCAGACCATGGCCAGATCTGCAGTGGCAAAGGATGTGCACTGTTGTTGTTTTTTTTTTTTTTAAGATTTTTTAAGATTTATTTTATTTATGCATACAAGAACTGGGGTGTAGGCCAGAGGTACGGGGATTGTGAGGACTCACCAGAGACAAGTGGGGAGCAGACCAGGCAGATCTACTGAATACACTGCTGAGGGGAGCAGCGGGTGAGACGGGAGAGGTCTGCTGTGCCATGTGGGTTAGCCCCCTGGCGGGGGGGGGGAGAGGGATCAAGCTTATGCCACAGTGGCTGGCAATAGCTTGATAGCACTGAGACTTTAACACTGGGAAGGCCCCTGTGTGTGTGTGTGTGTGTGTGTGTGTGTGTGTGTGTATATATATTTAAGTTCTAGAGCCTCGGACAAATCTAGGGACTGTGTCCAGGGCCTGGAAAGAAGAGCAGGGCGAGAGAAACTGTTACAAATGCCACAAATCTAAATGACTGCCTTATGCTTAGATGTTTTCCTGCAAAATGCATGGTTGTTAGAACCAGGTCTTGGTAATATTCTTTTAGATGAAGCTGTTTAATGTGAACAAGGATGGTGAATGGGAAAGCACTCAGCCTCTGACCAAGAACTGATACCTCTGACTCTTGGGAACCTCCCACCCTCCTGACTGTAGGGGCAAGTTTCAGGGGGGCTGACTAGTTCAAAATATTGATTCTGCAAACCTAAAAGGAGAAGGTGAAATGTGAGCATCATCGTGTGTGAACACCTTGAAAGTATAGTGCCAAACTGGTAGAGATAGGAGTATCCTCACTTGACCAATGAGGAAACTGAGGCCCAGAGAGGATGACCGGCTGAGTCAGAGAGGCTCACTGCCCACAGCGATGGCTGGTGAGGCTGGGAGTCAGGACAAGGGCTGAGGTTCTGGCTCTGCTGATCTGGCTAGTGGGCCAGTGTGATCATTGCTGAGTCTATCACACTCTGGATGTCCCAGGAACATATGGACATCTGTGTTTCCAGAAAATTCTTTTCTCTTAGTTTCTTCATTTACAAAATGGGGACTTTACCGCCTTCAGGCAGTTGCGATATGAAACATCACGTAGATGGTCCATGTGTCAAGATAAGAATTTACAGTAAGTTTGGCATTCGGGATTGTTTACACACATCTCTTGAACATTTGTTGGGTGGTGTGCTTGGGATGATGTGGGTCAGGCTGCAGCCCTGGCAGTCTTTCCAGAGGAGGTGATATTTTTAGAGCTGATCCTGCTATCTACCATCTTGTTGGATTTTTCCCTTTTCAGGACCTCCATGTTCCCAATGAGGACCGTATCAAGCAACTGCTGGGACAGGATGCCTGGACTTCACAGAAGAGTGAACTGGCTGGTTTCTATCCCCGACTCATGGCCAAGTCAGACACGGGGAAGATTGGTTTAATCAATCTGGGCAACACATGCTATGTGAATAGCATCCTTCAGGCCTTGTTTATGGCTTCTGAGTATGTGCTACTTTCTGATTCTTTATCTGCCTCCTCTAGTATGTGGGGGTTGGGATGAAGTTTGGAGAGGATGGATCCTGCTTTACATTGTTGTATAGTTCTCTGAGGTTTGTGGGAACATGTCGGGCAGATGAGTTGCTCCAGGGGGCTTTAAGCTGTTGCCAAGGCAGTAGATCAAGACTAGATGGGAACTCGAGATGAGGCTTCAGAGATTGGGCGTTAGTGGAAGGGGATTTATGCTCATTTGGTTGACATCACTGACTTTTTTTCCCTGGAGGTAGATTGTGTCTTTCAGAGTTGAACTCCCACTGACCCTGATAATAGAGCCCCCTCCACTTTAATAAAACAAAAGTCTGTATTGTCAGTGACTATCCAACATATGACTTCCTTAAAAGTCACTCAAGGTTTTGGCCAAAAAAGTAGACATCTTTAAAAAAATTGTTTTTACTGTGATAAGATATAACAAAATGTTTTGCTATCTTAACTATCTTGAGTGTACAGTTCAGTGGTATTCCATACATTCACATTGCTGTGCAGCCATCACCACCATCGACCCACATAACCTTTTTAATCTTGTAACTCTAAAACTTTATACCTATTACGCAATTGCTTCCCATATTCCCATTCTCCCTTCCTCCTAGCCCCTGGTAACCACCATTCTACTTTCTGTCCTATGATTTGGACTAAGTACTTCATGTAAGTGGAATCATACAATGTTTGTCTTTTTACAACTGGTTTGTTTTTTCTTTTTTTTTATGACCTCTTTATTAGAAAATGCCCTCAAAATTCAACCATGTTGTATCACATTATAGAATTTTGTTCCTTTTTTAAGACTGAATAATATTCCATTGTATGTCATGCATTGCTTAATGACTAGGATATATTCTAGTCATTAAGAAATGTGCTCACTGTAACTATACAAACCTAATCTACCCAAAGGACACAAAAACATTAATTCAAAAGAACACCTGCACCCCTATGTTTATAGCAGCACTATTTACAATAGGTAAGCTATGGAAACAACCCAAATGCCCAATGCTTCTTGACTGGATCAAGAAGATGTGGTACATATACACCATGGAATATTACTCAGCAATCAAAAAAGATAAAATCATGCCATTCACAGCAACATGGAAGGGATCATGCTCAGTGAAATAAGTCAGAAAGAAAAAGAAAAATACTGGATGGTTTCACTTTTAGGAGGAATGTATAGGATCTAAATAAGGAATCAGGGAAAAAAAAGTAATTATAATAAAGTAAATATTAAAATCAACAGCTATAAACCAGAGACATTCTACAGGGAGGGAGAGGGGAGTAGGATCAAAACAGGGTGGGAAGAGCATAAGGGACTATGATGATGGTACATGGGTGAATTGGTGGTGGGAATTTCATGGGGACTATAACCAAGATGCAAAAGCATACATTGTACAAAAATGAAGAATGATGTAAAAAATATATAAACTTAAAATATACAACCTAGATGGGATAGTCTACTCCACACATAGGTGATATGGGTATAGTTTGTTGTGACCACTGTCATGTTGGTCAAAATGTTGTTAAGCAACACATGCCTATATACCACATTTTGTTTATCCATTCATCAGTTGATGGACACTTAGGTTGCTTCTTTATTTTAGCTATGCTGCTATGAAGATGGGTATACAAATATCTCTTTGATCCTGCTTTTATTAGGTTATATATGCAGAAATAGAATTGCTGGGTCATATGGTAATTCCATTTTTAATTTTTTGAGAACCTCCATACTGGTTTCCAAGGTGGTCATACCAATTTACATTCCCACCAGCAGTGCACAAGACTACCTTTTCCTCCACATCTCTGCCAACATTTGTTAATGCTTTTCCTTTTGTTAATAGCAATTCTGAGAGATGTGAGGTGAAAATCTCATTGTGGTTTTGATTTTAATTTCCCTGATATTGTTGAAGTTGAATACCTTTTCATGTACCTGCTATTTATGCCTTCTCTGAGAAAATATCCTTTCAGATTCTCTGCCCATTTTCTAATCAATTCCTGGTGTTCTAATTTTTTTTTTTTTGCTACAGTTGTGCAAAATCTTTGTATGTTTTGGATAGTAACTCCTTATCAGATATATATGCACATATATGTATGGTTTGAAAATATTTCTCCCACTTTTCCTTAGTTTGCCTTTTCATTTTGTTTCTCCAGTTGTACAAAATCTTTTTAGTTTGATTGTTTTTCTTCCCTTTGCTTGGCAAAAAATCATTGGTAAGATATATGTCAAAGAGCTTTCTATCTATATTTTCTCCTAGTTGTTTCAGGTCAACTCTTGTATCCATTTGAAGTTGATTTTTGTGTATGGTATAGGATAATGACCCAGTTTAATTCTTTTGCATGAGGCTGCCCAGTTTTCTCAGTACCATTTATTGAAGAGACTCTCTTTCCCATTATATATTCTTGCCTCATTTGTTGTAAATTAATTGACCCATGTATGTGTAGGTTTATTTTTGGACTCTATTCTGTTCCATTGATGTATAAGTTTGTTTTTTAATGCCAGTTCTGTGCTGTTTTGATTATTATAGCTTTGTAATATAGTATCATATAGGACATATGATACTTCCAGGTTTCTTCTTTCTCAAGATTGCTTTGACTTTAGGAGTCTTTTGTGATTGACATCAAAAGGATTGGTTTTTCTTCTGTGGAAAATGTCTTTGGAATTTTGATTAGAGGTTGCAGTAAATCTGTAGATTGTTTTTGGTAGTATGGGTATTTTAGCAATATTCTTTCAATCCATGTCTATCATCTACCTTTCCATTTGTGTTTTCTTCAATTTTTTTCATCATTATGTTACAGTTTTCATTGAACGGGCCTTTTACTTCACAGGTTAAATACATTCCTACCTATTACATTCTTTTTGATGTAATTGTAAATGGGATTGTTTTCTTTATTCATCTTGCTGATAACTCATTGTTAGTGTATAGAAATGCAATCGAGATTTAATCTTGATTTTTATACCCTGCAACTTGACGAATTCTAATATTGATTCTCACAATATTTTGGTGGTCTGTAGGTTTTTGTACATGTTATATCATGTCATCTGCAAATAGGGACATTTTTGCTTCTTTTCAATGTGGAAGCCTTTTTTTTTTTTTAAAGTTTTTTTTTGTATGGAAGAACTGGGGTGCATGCCAGAGGTTCCAGGGGGTGAGAGTATTCACCAGAAAGAGAGTGGGGAGCAGAATAGGCAGATCTACTGAAATACACTGCTTAGGGGAGCAGGAGAGGCCTGCTGTGCCATGTGAGTTAGCCTCCTGGCCAGGGGTTGAACTCAGGCCCTTGAGGTGAGCCTTCATGGTGGTAGCTCCAAGACTTAACTCCTAGGCCACCAGGGAGGTCCCTGGAAGCCTTTTTTTTTTTTTTTTTTTTAATCTTAAATTTTATTTTTATATTCCCCCATACAATTGCAAACGCCCCATTCTGACCCCAATCCTTCCCCTCCCGCCCCCCACCCCCCAAACTGGTTCATAGTTTTTTGTTGATTTTGATTTTCACTTTCTTATATTCATTTTCCTGGTCCCTTATTTAAGTTTTCTAGATTCCTGCTATGAGTGAGACCATCCGGTATTTTTCTTTTTCTTTTTGGCTTATTTCGCTGAGCATGATCCCTTCCAGCGCCATCCATGTTGCTGCAAATTGCATGTGTTTATCTTTTTTGAATGCTGAGTAATATTCCATGGTATATCTATGTACCACATCTTCTTGATCCAGTCATCTACTTTTGGGCATTTGGGTTGTTTCCAAAGCTTAGCTATTGTAAACAGTGCTGCTATAAACATAGGGGTGCAGGTGCTCTTTGGAATGATGTTTCTGTGTCCTTTGGGTAAATACCTAGGAGTGGAATTTGCTGGATCATATGGAAGCTCTATGTTTAGTAGGTCCAGAAATCTCCACACAGCTCTCCATAGTGGTTGGACCAGTTTGCACTCCCACCAACAGTGCAGGAGAGTTCCTTTTTCTCCACACCCTCGCCAAATTTTTGTTGTTGCTAGTTTTTTTAATATGTGCCATTCTCACTGGTGTGAGATGGTAATCTCATGGTAGTTTTGATTTGCATTTCCCTGATGACAAGTGATGTTGAACATTTTTTCATATGTCTGTTGGCCATTTGCATTTCCTCTTCAGAGAAGTTCTTTTTAGCTCTTCTGCCCATTTTTTGACTGGATTATTTTCTTTGTTGTTGCTGAGTCTCATCAGCTCTTTGCAGATTTTTGTGATCAGTCCTTTATCATTAGTGGTTGGGTGCAAAATGTTTCTCCCAGTTGGTGGGGTTTCTCTTGTTTTTGTTATTGTCTCTTTTGCTGTGCAGAAGCTCTTTATTTTTATTTTTTTTTTTTTTATTGAATTACAGTTTATTTATTTATTTTTTTTTATAATTATTTATTTTTTTATTTTTTTTTTTTTAAATATTAAATTTTATTTTTATATTCCCCCATACAATTGCAAACGCCCCATTCTGACCCCAATCCTCCCCTCCCGCCCCCCACCCCCCCAAAAAGTGTCTCTGGTTCATAGTTTTTGTTGATTTTGATTTTCACTTTCTTATATTCATTTTCCTGGTCCCTTATTTAAGTTTCTAGATTCCTGCTATGAGTGAGACCATCCGGTATTTTTCTTTTCTTTTTGGCTTATCTCACTGAGCATGATCCCTTCCAGTGCCATCCATGTTGCTGCAAATTGCATGTGTTTATCTTTTTTGAATGCTGAGTAATATTCCATGGTATATATGTACCACATCTTCTTGATCCAGTCATCTATTTTTGGGCATTTGGGCTGTTTCCAAAGCTTAGCTATTGTAAACAGTGCTGCTATAAACATAGGAGTGCAGGTGCTCTTTGGAATGGATGTTTCTGTGTCCTTTGGGTAAATACCTAGGAGTGGAATTGCTGGATCATATGGAAGCTCTATGTTTAGTAGGTCCAGAAATCTCCACACAGCTCTCCATAGTGGTTGGACCAGTTTGCACT